GTCTGCCTTTAGCCCAATTACTGTGTGGTGGCTTTCTGTGCCACAATGAATCTGGGCAGCCGGCAGTAAACAAAAAAAAAAAAAAAAAAAACACTGTGTCATTTCTCATTTGCAGGGCTGATTAGGGTATATTGTGGGGAATACATACAGATGAGGCAGTGTTTGTCAGATTTGTAATGGTGGGTGAGAAATGGAAGGTCTAATCAACCTTGTGACTGACGGTAATGATCGACCTCAGGTCCTGTTCGTATATAAACAAAGTGCAAATTCTCCTGTGATGCTTCTCTTAATGATGTGCCTGAGCATTTAGCCTCGCTAGAATAACTTCTCACTTCTTTGCATTGATACAGTTTAGTACATATCCCGATACAACCCCCCCCCCCCCCTCCCCCATTCAATGGGCTACTGTGAGTTTTTCTATATCTGAACATTTTACAATATAATTATAATGTATTTTTATGATTTATATTTAGGAATTTATGGATATATTTATTATAGGAATTTAGGGATTTAGGAAATTGTTGTTGTTGTTTTTTTTGTTGTTGTTTTTTGTTTTAATTTACTTTATGTATTTCACTATATGTATTAAAAGAACACTTAAAGGAGTAGTTCACTTAAAAAAAAAAAAACAAAAAAAAACTTTTGCTGATAATTTACTCACCGCTATGTCATCCAAGATGTCCATGTCTTTCTTTCTTCAGTCAAAAAGAAATTAAGGTTTTTGATGAAAACATTCCAGGATTTTTCTCCATGTAATGGACACTGGAAACCAAACGGTTCAAGGTCCAAATGGGAGTTTCAGTGCAAACCACAAACTGTTCAAAGGGCTTAAACGATTCCAGACGATGAATAAGGGTCTTATCATGCGAAACAATTGGTCAATTGGTCACAAAGTTTAAGTTTTATAAGCTCAAATGGTCGCCTTGCTCTGTTCTGGGATGCACACGCATCTCTCCTGTCAGAACTCGTTTATCAAAATGAACGTTTGAAATGACCAGTTGTTTCGCGTGATAAGACCCTTATTCATCGTCTGGAATTGGTTAAAGCCATTTAAACAGTTTTCGGTTTGCACTGAAACTGTCTTTTGGACCTTGAACCGTTTGGTTCCCATTAAAGTGCATTATATGGAGAAAAATCCTGGAATGTTTTCATCAAAAACCTTAATTTATTTTCGACTGATGAAAGAAAGACATGGACATCTTGGATGACATGGGGGTGAGTAAATTATCAGTAAAAGTTTTTTCTTTTAAATGTGAACTAATTTCCCAGAATGTGTTTCTAGTTGGGTTTGTTCAATTCAACTCAAATTATATCTCACGAATTGAAAGTGAGCTAGTTCCGTAGTTCTAAATTTTCAGAAAAGTCATTATGTGTATGTATTTGCTGAGTTAGCTCTATGTTGCTCTATGACTTTAATTGGAACATTTGAGATGGACCTACAGGGGTTTACGGACAACATTTTGCAAAATTCTGGGATATAATGTTGCTTGTGGTAAGACAAGTTAGTCTTGTCAAAAAAACCCTCAATACAGTGTATTTCAATATAGTGGGTAGATATTTTCAAGCATGGCTACATTTTAGCAATTGATTGAATTAGTACTGGCCACATTAAATGGGTACATTTCCTGGCAGACCATCTTTTCCTTCCTTCCATACACTTTGAACTCATTGTTTAGCAACTTGTAAATCCATAATCCTATTCTCTATTGTAATGAACTCTGACTTCCTGCAATTCACACTCCCAGATCCGTCCTTTGAAAAATAGAGTTATTAGATGAATACAGGGAACAGGAGGCACTTAACACGAAGAGTTTTTAGAGCCAAGAAATCCGATTCCATATTGTGGCTAAGTTTAGGTTCCCGCTTTGTACAGGTGCAGGTTCTTTCCTCTTCGAGACGCTATGCAAAGCCGAGCCAGCACATGCCTCTGTGAGTCAGACAATAGATCACATCACACAAAGGGTCACCTCTGCTTCTTTAGGCCTTTGATTTGTATCCTCATTGACATCACACATGGGCCTCTCAGTTCTTTGTTAATACCACAATTCCCAGTGTTCTTCACTTTCAAATGAGTCTGACCTTCCAGCACAGAGGCAGTCCTCCTCTAGCCTACTGTGCACCCCGGGCATCCCTGCACCTCATGCAGATGGGCTGTATGGCTGCATGCAGACAGGCTCTGTGTTTGCTTCAGGTCGATCCGATTACTCTCATGTGGTGAGGATAATGGCCTTGCTTGAAGGTGTGGATCTTTAGGAGAGGCCATTATCTGCCCGACAAGTCCTCTTTGGTATCCTGCACATGGCCATAGTGTCTGGGCCAGAAAAGTAGCCAGTCGCAGTTGCACATTAGTATATCACATGCACTTGACAAAATGACAACATCCTAGAATGCTGATGGTAAATAATGCGACATTGTTTTAATGGAAATGTAAGTGTTGCAGAGAGAGAGAGAGAGAGCCAGCCATTGATTAGTAATATAGTATGTCCTTCTCTATCCAGTCTTAAAGGGGTAGATCAGCTAAAAATAAAAATCACTTTTATGGTGCTTATTTTTTTTTTACACATTTATGTACTTAACAGCCTTGGTTTCTACGTTAAACTGTATAATTGATGATCTCCAATTGTTTCCATAATGAGATATTTCAACCTCATGGAACTCTTAAAGTTAAGGCTAAATCAATGATGCTAACCTACAAAGTTTGTTTATTTATTAATTTATCAATGCATGGAAAATATCACCATTTTTTTTTCCTCGTTTCACAATTTGGAATTGCGTGAGGGTGAGTTTTTTTCCCGGCAATGTTCCTTTAAGATGTGTCTTACTGTGCTGCTAGTACACCCGCTGTGGCCCAGTCTTTATTTGCAACTCTATGCCATGATGTGTTCCACAATTAGCATCCAAATTAAGAGTATAAAGAAGGAACATTGGCCCTGAGATATATTGCCCTTTCCCAAAATCCACTCCCACAAAGGGCACAGCAGGGTGACTGGGTTTTAGCCCAGTACTGACAGCCCAAGTGCTTTTTGTCCACAATTAAGAGTATGTCTAAATTATTAAGCACAGCAGTTGGTTTTTGATATACTTTATTACACATAATGATAAAAAAAAAAATGTTTAGTCTTGTAAATTTAAATGTTAAAGACAATTATTTGTTAATTTATTTATTTTTTTTCTTCTTCTTCAAGAAATTTCAGTTTGCCCTCCAGCCATTGGTTTGCAGGCACGGGATACGGAACTGGTCCCAGAGGTTAGCCTGAATGAACAGTGGGTCACAATGAGCCCTTTCCCCGCTGCTGGAGCAGCTGCAGTCCTTTGATAGAATGAGGTCAATTCAAGAATGGAGATGGCTGGAACTGATTGAGGGGCCTATTCAAAGAAATAAGGTACAAAGTGTTTTGTATCGGTGAAAAAAAAAGAGTAGCGCACCCCCTTCCCCCTTTCCCTTCCCCTCCTCCCACTTTTATTGCTTTGCTTGTCAGTGTCAGGAATAAATCATTTAAATTGTTCTCTGATTCCCCCTCCTACCATTTGGCAAAATGATAATTGAAACATTAATAGGACATTAATAGGATGTGTGTCTCGGTAACCTTTGAGATAAATCTCAGTATAATGGGATGAATTCACCCTGACCAACAGGAATCTGGAGTAATTAAACATGAGGTGACGAGGCTCATTTGGGCATGTCTTATAATTCATTTGTAGCTCAGAGCAGTGTGCGCTGCCATTGGAACAGATTTACTAGCCAGAGGAAGAACTCATTTGTTGGTCATTACACCGAGTTAGTTTGCAGTACTAATGATGGGAACTACAAGCCTTTTTTGGAATTAGATGTGTAAAAGTGGTGTCCTATTAGCGACTCTACTTTTGAACACCATTAAAACAACATAATATAGTGCCGTGCAGTCAGTCCAATGCATGTTTGAATGTTGTGGTCCAGGTCCTGCTTAAAATTTGTAGCGATGAGCCCACTTTCTCTGTCATTTTGTCTTTTGTCAGATGTTATTTTGACAGATAAGTAGCATAACATTGCATTGGGTATGAATCCAAGTAATGATGTACTTGGCCAGAATTACATGCATCATCCACTTCAGCAAATTAGAACGACCAGCGATTTGAAATTGACACTCCTCAGTTGGATGATTCTCAAAACGTCTGCTTTGTTTGGCATCATTAGGTGTATTTTCTGCTGTCGTTTGCAATTAGTCAGAATCACACTGTAAAAATGTTGCTGTACATTTTACAGTAACTTACTGGCAGATGGATGTGTTTACAGTACCAGTACTGTAATTTAATTTACAGTTAGACAATTGTATACAGTCTTAATATTTACCGCATGAGTACTTTTTCATATACAGTACAAGTACCATATTTTAATTTACAGGAATAATATAGTAGATTCTATTCATGAGTACAACTACTGTACAAATAACTACTATTTTTATTTACAGTATTTGAATTGCTTTCTGTAGAAAATAATTACAGTAGTAAACACATATTTTCCCATAATCCTTGGCTATTTACATTATTATACTGTTGACCCATTTAACAGTGTTATACTGTACATATTACAGTAAAATACTGTTCAAATTACAAAAATCCGTTACAGTGGAGGATATCAGGTTGCAGAACGATATTGCAGGAGAGCATTTAGATTGGACCTTTTTTTCAGATTAGACCTTGGAAAACTTTTTATTGATTGTAATCACAGCAGCCGACATTGCCACACTCATTAGCATATTACTTTCGGGGAAAATGAACAGTAGATATATTCATATCACATTATAGATTTTAATGAATTATGGCAAGACAAAGGATCGCTTAAGAAAGGATAATTGCTGTATGCTGAACCCGGGTTGTGCTCATTACTTTTCAACAATGCCATCTCACTCTTTCCCTCGCCAGTCGTGACGGATCTATTCCATTATGAGCCATTTGATGGCAAATTAAAAAGAGTGTGATGGAAACATGCAGAACTGATGAATTTAGACAAGGAGACAAAGTGGAGAACATTTAATAGTTTAATAATAAGCTGCAGTATACATTCAGTGATAATTCTGTTTTTCACGTTGCCAGAAGCTGTTTGGTGAGACCAGCAAAAACATTCAGCTACTAGATCTATATCTTTTTCACACATTGTTGCTGTTTGTACTTTCCACATTATAAAATGAATATTGCAAAGAAACTGGTTTTGCAATTTCTCTCCATCCGCTGCTATGGCAATTCCACCAAATCAGTTTTTTTTCCCCCTTCCTGCAGTAAAACAAACTTGTTTGAGTGGGCTTGGTACAGCGTTCTTAAGTGATCTGAAAAATGCAGGGCTGTACTTGATGATAGATAGCAAAGCAAGTCTGTCTCAGAGCATCTGGGTTTGCTTTACATGGAACTCGAGCCTCTTATACACTTCAGAAATGAGTGGAATCACTTTCAGTTACTCAAAATGGTAGGCTTACTCTTACCATTACTTGAGAATTAAGATTAAACAACAACCTGTTATCTTGAAAGTTTAATGTTTGTTGCAATTTTTTGGTTTCTTTTGCTATCTCACTCTAAGCTCATTGTACTGACACACAACTGTTGGTGTTGATATTTTTTTTTTTTGTCTTTTTTCACTTTTTTTGCCCACACAGAAACTTGATGGCACGAAAACTGACCAATAAGAAACTCTTTTACAACAAGGTAGACTGCAATCAACAGTTGCCAGGGGTAACACAGTCAACAAAAAAATCAAGATCAATTGAAAATGTAAAAAAAGGGATAAAAGAAGAAATAACAAAGTCAATAAAAAGGGGACAAATAAAGAAAAAAGCCAGTTAATTTCAAGTATAACTTACTGATAAAATAACTACACAGCATTAAATATTCTCATTATACATTTTAAATTATTTATAAAATATATTTTGGCATATATGTTATTTTTTTTCCTTTTTGTCTTTGTGTACAAACGCTACTGTAGCTTTAGTTGAACACCAATGTTTATTTATTTTTCTTTTTTTTTTTACTTTCGCAACAAAACATTAAAGGGATTGTCACATAACAACAGATTATTAAAAATGATAGTATTAAACCCTAAACAGAGTTTCACATAGCAAGACGTAAGTGACGACCCCTTCTATCCTAGCCCCATAGTCAAAATCCCAAAAAGTACAAGACCAGAGCACGAAGTTCTAGTAAACTGCGCTCCACTGGCTACAATCAGGAAAGGGCACAGGAGATTTCAAAAGCAACAAGTCTTATGTTTTTTTTTTTTTTTTTTCTTATTCTTCTTTTTGTCCACATATATATAATATATATATATATATATGGCTGTAAGTCTGGGGGATCGGTCTCTCCCTATTCCAGTTTTTCGGTGAGCTTGAGCTGATAGCGCAACTTCATTTAGCTCCATCAGAGATAAAAAATAAGCAGTGTAATGACCTTACGGTTTGCTGACATTGGAATATCTTGAGGGAAACAGAGAAGGGTTGTCTTATCAGACAGGGAAAAGCCACTGAAATGAAATGAAATCTGACGGAGTGTTCCTGTGCGCTCTGCCGCAGTCGGACGGCTTACATCGTTACGGGGAGAGTCTCGATAATCTGTAGCGTCAGAGAGACCCACGTCCTCTTCGGGAACAGTGAGCGGTTTGGCAGCTGAAGCAAAAACTGCATACCAAAGAAGGCATTAAAAGAAAGTTAGAAGTCTCTTTCGAGTCTACAAGGCATGACTTTACTTAGGTGTCACTGGCGTCACCCTGGAAGGTCTTTCTCCTCTAAGGGCAAGACGTGAGGGCAGGGTGAAGCGTGTCACGCAGCACACAGTAACCAGCCTGTCCACTGCAGATAGACGATTGCGACGAACGTACAAGCGTTGTTGTCACTACCAAGCCGCGACGACAGTCTGAGCTCGGAGACATATTTTCAGCTTAGTTTGTTCAGTCTCTGGAGAATACATGGGCTGCACATGTGTCTCGCCCCTTCTGTCCCCAGGCCCGCTTGGCTCGACGCTCGCAAAAGCACACGAATACACACACACACACGCACACTTCGGCACACACTCGTATGTGTTCTGTGTACACGTGGGAGCCGGTTAAAGCACGATGTCCTTCAGCCGCTTGCTGCCGGGGGACTCCTTCTCACGGCCGTCCTGCAAGAGCGTGTTGATCTCCCGCATAGCCGGCTCACTGTCCTTCCCCTCCGGCTGCCGCAGCAGGCTGTGGTTGGCTATGCGCTCTACGTCCCGGCATTTCAGTGTGTTGTAAGCGGAGGATGGTTTGGACTGGGGGCTCTTCAGGTGCACAGGGGACGTGATGGGGCTAACGGCCTCTCGGCCATTTCCGGCTTCGCGGACTGTGCCGTTGGACTTGGGGGTGCAGACGGCCGGCTCTGCCGTTTGCCGCTTGCCCCTCTGTTCAGCCCTCTCCTCGTCCGGCCCATCTTTGCCAAAGGTGGCAAAAGTCCTTTTGGTGGTGCCACAGTCCTCATAATGAGGTACGTCCACGGTTGTGGCCTCGATGGACAGAGCAATGACGTTGCGGCCGTGTTCGGGAGACTTCACTTTCGCTGGCATCGGCACCCGGGGCATCCAGCAGCGATCCGAGTGGCCCAGGATCCGACATTCGTCTTGGCAGTGGAACCCCTCTGACTGATCTGCACCAAAAGAGAGAGAAAGAGAAGAGTTAGTTTGGCTTTTAAAACTGTGCAAAAAAAAATCACTTGGCTGCAGTTAAATTTGCGTTTCAGTAAATGACACACACACAAGCAGTTTTGTCAAGGGCTGCACGAACATTAAGCATGTTAGATAGTGAAGTGTTTGCGTGCAACTTGTAAAACCAATGTTTCCCGTTTTCCTTATTATGCTACTTGGTGCCACATTATTAACAAAACTTGTTCGCATTACACCAGAGAACTTAATTGTCACAAAAGGCTGTTTCACATCTGTTGAACTTAGCACTGTTATCTTTCAGAGACATGGTTGTAAAAATGTGTTCTTGGCGTTCCCCAATGTGCATTTGGCTACCTTACCAACACAAGGAAAATATGTCTGTAAAAAGCATTTTACATGTCAGAACGAACATGACGGCGTTTTCTGCGTGGGGGGGACAGCAGCATCTGTCGAAAACAAACTTAACAATTCTGTTTCATCAGAAACAATCTTAAAACAGGGCTTTAATTGTAACATACCGAACTTGTCCTTTAACACTCGCAGCGTGGATCACAGTTCATATCCAGACCAGAGTGAGCAAAATTCAAAATTCTATGGACATATTTCATCTAATCTAATGCTCCAAGCATGAACAAGTGGCATGCATGATGGATTATTTATGTAAACAGTACTTTTTACAGTTTACTTTTTAACACCCCTTCACCCCATAGTTCACTTAAAAATATTAATATGTAAGGTGCATCTTGAGATAGTCTAAGAGGGTCTTGGAATGGAAATGTTTGGGAACCCCTAGTCTAAACTGTGCCGTTTGCGCAGCTTCTGCTTATTTGTGGTTTCTTTCATGGATTTCAGGCACAGTTTGTTTAGGGGCTTTCATCTTTCCAGCACATGTCAGAGCTGGAAAATGGGGGAAAAAGACTGGCATGCTGAAGAGCTCGGCTCCATTTTAATGTAAGCTGGCACTACTTCTTCAACAGGTTTTAATGCTAGAACTTTTGGGGGGCTTTTAATAAACCAATGAAAGGGTACATTGTTAAATCAAAAGTGGATCCCCATCTTGTGAGTAATTGTTTCACACTGTTGCCAGGCTTGATGAAAGGAGGGTTTAGACAGTGCAATCAAAGATTTCACAGTGAGGGACATTGGCAAAGTAGCCTCATTGTTAAATGCTGAACATTGTGCTGTGTCTCTGTCATCTATCTGGCAATTATAAATATGCAATGATGTTTTAAATCTGTAGTAGAGTAAAAAATAAATAAAAAAAGATGTCTAAGCCAGTATTCCTACAGATCTGTCCTTTGTTGTGTTGGAGGGAAGTGCTTTTAAGCTGCTTTTTGTATCATTATAACTACAAAAAAAAAAAGCCAAGCTCTCTCTCGCTCAAGTTGAGGAGCTGTCTGCCTCTTTCACTTGCCTTTTATTTAAAAGAGATGCATCTGTGATAATCAAGGCAGCTCTCTTTTTATTAGCAGTCAGCCCAAAACAGCTTTCTGCGCGAGTCCTTTTGAATCCATACATATTTCATCATCGGCCATCTGGGTAGACAAGCACGACAAGGGCACTCTCTCTGCTTAAATGTTTGCTAATACACACAAATGGTATTTGCATAACAAAATCACATCATCAGATTGCTGTTTCCACATGCACCGCTCACATGTAATAATAATAAAGAGTTATAATTAGGGATGCACTGTTAATTCTGTCCAATAGGGATAATACTAATTATTTTTTAGACTGCCGATAACCACTTAATTACTGATATTAAAACTAATTTATTTAAGCATCCAAATTCTTATTTGAATCTTTATTCTGATTGCACCACAATATTTATACATAAAAAAAAAAATCTCTTAAATAAAAGCATTATAATATTTATAATATTCGTGTGTGTGTGTGTGAGTGTAGAACAAAACTGATAAATGTTTTAAAAATCTCTGCTATCAATAAATATGACATAAAAATATGCCTTAAGCATTACATTCCAAAGTCATATTGATGCAGGTTGATGTAATTATAAAGCCAGTTATTGTTGATTAATTGTCACCAAATAATTCACTAAATGACAAGTTCACATCCCATCAACCAAAATACACATATAGTATTTCACACAGATGTTTGTTGACATATTTGGTCCGCTTTCTTACTGGTAAATCAGCCCATGGGTTGAGAAATTCCTACATAATTGTAGCCCTCGGTGACAGCGAGAGATTGAAGGATTCACACATACATCTGACACTCTGAGCTTGACGGATCATCCAATTAAAATCACTAATTATCCGCTTTTCCTGTTCTTTCAGGACTTTGAGGGACAACACAGCTTTGGGGCCTGAATCAATATTTAAAGATTGGAGCGTTGCTTTCCAAGATCTACACTGCCAAAACTGTCACCCTTAAAATCTAATGAGATTGACAGATTACTAACTGAAGTCTGGAGACATTTCAGATATCATGTGTGAAGATAAAAGCTCCGTGCTTGTGTATCTGTATCTTGATGGATTATTAGAGATTTGACCCACCATTCACACACAGACCGTCACACACGCATGCTTCCTCATACTAAAACTCAGCAGGGCAGCAGCGAGAATTGAGAAATTAAATTGAAAAGAAAAAAAAAAATAAATTGGAAAGTAAAGCTCTGGATCAACTACGGTATCTCAAGTGGCTCAAATTTAGCCCATAATCACCAAGACCTGTGAACACACACACATGTCCACATCTTGAAAGGGCTTTTCATCACCAAAAGTCAATGTTATCACCATAGCAACAAGGGTGAGTCTCGCCATTTTCTACATATACAGCGAGCGAGTGGCGAGGACACCACACCTGCCACGGTACAATCTGCCTACCCAGAATTCCTCCTTTTTCATTTAATAAGAATCTGCTTTTCTACAGAAGCATGGATTTATCTGCATCCTGTGGATCAATAGGAGGCACTTTAACAAGATTCAAATCGTGTTCACCTCTTGAATGGGCAACACACAAAAATAGAGTGCATTTTCCAATTCCCCTTCCTTATGACAGTAGGGACATGTCCATTCATTGAATGTTGTCATCTTTTTCAGCCTCTGTCCTTTAAGGGGACCCCCATGGAGCGATTCTCTTGTAAATTGCATCACTGTGAAAGCAGAACGCCATTAACAGCTCCCTCACATCCTGTCAGTGGTTTATGCACAAAACTCACAGATGTTTCTCTCAAAGATCTGTGCTAACCACAAAACAAATTGCAGTAAGACATGACAGCCTGTCAACCCCTGACAAAACAAAATCTCTTCCTATCTTTTTTTTTTTTTTTTTTGCCCTACAAGAAATAGAAATATAATGCCAGCAAATTAAGCAATTAAAGCTTCAATGCAGCTGATCTTTGAGTTGTGCAGAAGAGAGCAGTGAAAGGGAGACGGCCCTCCTACAGAGAATGTCTATTGAAAGTCATCAGGAAAATGCGCTTGCCAATCAGTTCCGGGAAAAGACTTAAAATACAATCCAGAGCACTATGTCAGAAGGAACATTTGCTGTCTAAGATTTAAAGCCTAATTATGGGCTTGGCTCAGGCTGGAGGCGGAAGCATCTATGTTTTCTTACTCTTCCTCATTTCTAAGGAAAGCACAGATTTTATAATAATAATAAAAAAAGAAAAGAAAAAAAAACACGGGGATGAGAGTCCCACAGCAGTGCTGAGTATTAGAAATATTGGGATTTAATTTTTGCGTTGGATGAAAGAATGCACAAGGTGTTTGGGACTGTTTTAAATATGTGTACCGCTATCTGCATTCTGCAAAGCTGAAGAATAATAAATAGTCCACTTGTAATGCAAAGGCTCTTGTGATAAGAACTCGCCAGTGCTGTCAGCTTGTAGTAGAACGGCATCAGTTTACTTCATGAGTGAAGAACTCTGTCCCATAATTAGGCTAGAAATAACCTTAACTCGTTGATTAAACCCCAGCTCTGCCAGGTTAGAGGTCACAGTGAATTTGAAAGTAGACATCAAAGCTCTCTACCAATAAGTAGGTTGTGCTCCATTCAGAATTGAATATGGTATATCTTCTAAATACCAATTAGGTTCATGAGTTTGAATTGATGTAAAACAGGATGCAGAAATATGGAAAGACAAAATGGATGGATTATATTTCTTTGAATGGCAATAAATTCCTGTTAGTTAAACTTTCTGAAATCAGAGCTTTGCACAACACTGCTGCCTAGAGGGATATTAAACCATTTAAAAATGTCTGTTATCTTAAACACGGCTAAATGAGCTAAATTTGTGGGTGGGCTGAGTTCCGCAAACCCAAAACAAAAGGAATGGCTTTTAATCTGGAAAAAAAAAAAAAAAAATCTGAACATCTTTTGTGTCGCTGCCAGACTTTCATCTTGTTTGGAAGCTATTATGCTCCTTCTTGGAAAACACACTTTCTTTTCTCTCCAAAAATTCATGTACGAGCACTGGAGGTCTCCATTGTTGGTGTAATGCGCGAGAAGGCCAGAGAAAATGCAGCTAACATTGTCATAAGCTCGGAGTGTGGGGAGTATGTAAGGGAAAAGTGGGCATACGCTCACTCTCAAACACTCAACTGGCGAAGTAATTGCAACCATGGGGCTCTGCAGTTTTCACAGTGACACTATTCAGTCACTTTGGATTTACAGGCTTGGGGAAAGAATGCCATTTCTTCGAGGAACAAGGTGAAACAGCCAAAGAAACAAGCAAGACGTTCCTAATAAATCAAACCATTCTGAGCAACATGATGCATTGGTTTAAAGATTAACTATATTAAACCTGAGCATGTTTTGCTGCGTCTTTTGGGCATAATGATCATATAAATCATATTTAGATGCATTCTGCCTCAAACACATTTTTCTTCTTGTTTGTCTCTCTCTATTGTTGTTCCTTGTAGACCGATGAAATGATTCAGCTGCAGCCGACACCTGTGAGAAATTATGTATAGGAGTGAGAGGGCAGACATTGATTGTGGTGTTCAATTTTTCACTTTCT